ATAATACTTATCGCCCCGAAGAACGGGCCCTATAGATAAGAGGCTTTTCTAGATTGTATTTCCGTCGATAATTGTCTCTTCGTTCTGGCTCTCTGTAGGATCACGTTATTAGTTATAAAATTTGTCCAAAGAATCCGTAGCATTCTTTTGTGTGATCACATTTCGAAGGCCTCTAATCGATTTTGAGATTATCCATTCAGACATTATTTATTCTCTATTTAAGATAAAAGATTTCTATGTTTTTTTGGTGTTATACTCTATATTCTATGTTCATTGAGATATTATACTCCATGCTTGTTTTAGCGTCATCCGATGTTTCCTAAATCTATTCTTTCGTACCTCTTTTCATCTCTTTTTCGTATATTTATTTGTTGCATTTGTACATTCGCCAAAGTATGACTAACAAAAGTACAGGTATTAATACCAAAAGCGAATAATATATGATGCTTTTATGACGGCATTTATAATTCTTTACAACGCTCTCTTAAATATGCGATTGTTCTTTTAACTACAAACGTGTCTTAATAATCTTGATAATTATTGATTCATGAATTTACTCTTCGACCACAGTTCTATTCTTACTTTCGCATTCTACTGAATGTACGACAACATTCATACATGTTAAACAACGTCTAATGCTTCGTGAAGTAGTGGCTTCTGCCTGCGCAAAGCTCTCATCGTGAAGAACGGGGAATGTGAGACCGAGAAAGTTTTTAATTTGACTTGCTACGCTGAGAATAGCTCGAAATGGAACCGAAACGTCCGTATCGTGAAATTAAATGAAATATCTTATGTACTGCAAAAATAGAATTAAATATAATTATGCGTTAATTTTCACACAAATATCCGTGTTGCACTCCTAAGCCCATATAAAACAAATTTCATATATTAATAATTGTTCATGGAAAATATAATAATTCCAATAATTATTGCTCGTGAATATCATGCGAAAACAGTAATTTGTAATTCTTGCTCGAGCGATTCAACTTGAAAGTTACAGTTTAAATAAATTAATCACGCAAAGTATCAGTCCCGATAAATAAACATCGTTTTAATATCGTGTACGAATTGCAAATGGAATATACATTTGATTATGTATTTAATCGCAATAGTTTATTGATCTCGCGGGCTTAACCTTCGTTAAGAGAATTATCGTGTATCTTGGATATTCTACCTTCCATGATTGCGTTTCGAATAGCAATGCGACGATAAAAGGAACGATTCTGCAGCTAGTATCCTCGTTCGATTATTGCCGTGTGAATGGTAATATGTATTTACATAAGTAAGGCCATGTATAGTTCCAAAATAACACTAAGGCCATATCACATCAATCTATTTCACTACCACAAAATATTTAACAAATTATTATAAAATAAAGAGTAACTTCGTTCGATTATGAAAGCACTTACAATTAGAAGTGAAAATATCGTTGTCACCCTATTTATGTCTTCATTAACAAGACACAAATAAATAGCACAATAAATTCATTTATTTTTAATTGCTTGATATGAATATACATATTGCTATTAAAGAATATTATCTGTTACATATAAATAATTTCTTTCTTTTAGTAATACTTTAAAAGATAGAAATGTAACAATAATATTAATTCCTTTAAAAAAATTGTTGAATTTATTATTCAAAGAATAAAATTTATTTTTGCTTTTAACGAAAAATTTATTATGTGCATTAATATATTTTTATCATCATTAGATTTTATAAATGATAAAAATAAAAATAAATAATTCTGACAAATTGATATCAGATTAGTAGAAATGACTAGTAAAGATTATCAGTAAAAATTATTACAACTGATTCTTATTTTTTATCTTATTAAAGTTACAAAATTTTATTTTTAGGATATAAAATTAAAAAAAATATAAGTATTCTTAAATAAAAATGAAAGTATTATTTGCTGCATAAATATGAAATTTAATACAATTGACGTGTTTACGTATTGTTGATAAGTTTGAAAAATTTTAAATAAGAGTAAAAAATTGTAAAATATTTTATTAAATCAATGTGGAAAATTATCGAGCATTATTTTTTTAAAGAAAAATGTAATAAAAGACATACGTTATCATATTTAGTATTAATGATTTAAAAATATTGTTTCTTAGATCAGGCATACATGGCTAACTTTTTTCGATTCGATTTTCAAATTATTCGCGGACCGAAATAGTCTTAAAGATGTTAAAACTTCTTTATTTTGTATAAGAAAGAATAAAGTTGTCATTAAATGTAAACATTAATAAAACTAATTTTTGTTTTCTTCCTTTAATTTTGTATTTTTCAAAATGTTGTCGCGAGCCTGATAAAACTGCTCGGTAGGGCGCAGATTAGCTGTGCTCATCATAGACATTAAATCACATTTTTACAAAAATAATTATTCAATTTTTGCAAAATATGAGTTTCTCGAAAATAATCATTCAGTCCTCATTTACGGAAAAATATTCCAAGTACTATTAACATACATAAACGTACAAACTGTCGAGAATTTGTTAAAATTATCAACATTTATTAAAACTGATTTAAAAACTGATTTTAACTGATTTTTTCAATATAAAAGTGACTGTAAATAAAAGGTCAACCACTATATTATACAATAATGCAGTATTTGAAGTGCATCGTAAATAAAACAGTAGTACAATGCAGTGGATTCGTAAATGCAGAAATTGATAAAACATTGTTTTATAAATTTCTACTTTATACACGTAGAAGTCGGTTTTTCAACAGTTTTTCGCAAAATACTTTTTCTGTTAAAATGTTACTTTAAATTTCAAAATATTAACAACAAATTTAATAACACTAACGCGATATGTCTCCCTTATTGTCGGAATATAGCCTACGGCAATATGTTGACCTACAACGTTAATGCAATTTAATGTTAAAATCTGTTAGAAGATTGCTCTATCAGATTGTTATATACTGTCAGGTTTATCGATTTAGTTAAAAGTTGTCCGAAGTTCAATCGGCTAAAAACATTTTTACTTTATTTGATTGTTATTTTTTAATTTTAGATTTAATTAATGCACAAGAGTCGTTATAAAATAATGAAATAAAGTCATAAAATAACATTTATCAACGTCTCTTGGAAACGCAGTCTCTTCATTATAAAATAATTTATCATAAAACAATACAAGTTGCCCACACTGAAAGCACCATTAAAAACAAAACGGTCTTACGTTAACGTCGGCACAAGTCGACGAAAGCGTAGGAAATAAGGGGGGGAGGGGAGAAGTACGCTGAGCCGCGAAAGTAATTAGTCTTACCCATCACCGCGATTGATCGTGACGTGGCAAGAGATGCGAGTCTTTATCTTCTCCATCTTCCAAACCTCGTAAGTATATATAAACCTGCGTGTCCATCAGCCATCCCCTTTCTTACCCGTATATTCAATTGAATGGGTTACCCGTTTGCGGTTGCTTCGTTAGCGTCTCGCTTTTCAGCGGTATATCACATTCACCGATAGAATCCGCGCGAACGCCCGATCGAATTGTCGTTTAGATTTTTGTTTAATTATCATCCGGCCGGCTGACCGAGTCGGAGAGCGAACAATATTGCGGATTGATACGAATAGGGGATCGAGGTCAACACCGAGGTGAAGCGGTGATTTCGAAATAAATGGCGCGACCATTCCAGCGATTTCACCTAGTCGGATATATGATGCGATCGTCATCGGGTAAACGACGTTCACCATCGACGATCCATTGGCTCTCCACAATATCGTTCTGTTGATGACTAAAATACAGTAGCGAGCCGCCGTCCTGACGAGTTCGTCGCAATTTTTGTCTATATACTTCAATGTTAATAAAACTTAATCTTCAAGTACTTACAATATCGTACTAGATGCCGTAAGACGAGTTGAAATCGCGTCGGCGAAACTTTATGTCACGGCGAGTGGGCAGCAAACGAACGATTGTTACCGCATAATGTAATTTGTAATAATTTCGACACAATGCTGCGCTCGATTTCCATTTGCACAAGACTTTAAATTTCATTAAAATATATATTTTGTAAATTAATTTTTTAATTTCAATAACAGTGATAATTATTTGGCAATTATCTCTCTCATTTCCCGCGCCTCGAATTTTAATATTTCAGATACCACAAGGATTGTTCTGGGGTTTTGTTTGAATTTACCCGGCAATCACATATTTTATATTATTGTAAAAATGAAAATCACATTTGTAGAAAATAACAATAAATCCCGGATAGGAATGATGGTGATAACGCATGGTTACTTTATCGGTCACTAAATATTAGAGTTTACCATGTTTCATATACGGAATTGTAAATATTTACCATACCCATCTTGAATTTTCATGATGACACACTGTAAACCTCTGCCTCCCCCCTCCCCCCCCTTCTCCACCCCCGACGTTTGCTGTATGCGAAACGCGGTATTGCAGAAACTGTCTAATATTTGCGAGCAGATTTCGACACAATGTTCGCAGACGGTTGATAAACTAGTGCTTCTTCCCGGAAGCTCACTGTCCTGCGCATGCAGACTAACGAACACTGCAACGCACCTGTGGGACTCCCTTCGCAACTTTGCCTTTCATTTTGTATGTTGACACGTAGTTATCGCCATGATCGAGTTAAATTCTACTGGGATAAAAGGGCCAGCAAAGCACAATGGCGACTGCTAAATAATGCTTGGTGAGAGGATGACACGATCAATGTCGATATTTTAACGAATAAGCGGAATAATCGGAATCGAGAATAATTAAAATGGCACAGCGAATGCGTTTTTAAAAGGCTCATGAAAGTATAGGAATAATTTCGCATACTGTATAATTGCGCTAAATCTAAATCTTTGTTAATATTTCTTAAAGGAAAGAAGGGGGGGAAGACGAATCAGGGAGAGAGGAAAGATTTCTATACTTTTATGTATCTTCAGGTTTCTAAATCGAGAAATTTCTGACACTACAAATGTATAGGGTAAAGTAACCAAATTCGGACCAGATTTGATGCGTCGCTAATAAGCGACATTTTAAAGTAATTCACTTCAATTTCGCTCTTTTATATATTTACAACTTTATGCTACATTGTCGATATCGTAAAAGGCATCGACGTGTTTGTATGTCGCTTATTAGCGACTCGTTAAATTGTTGATCCGCATTTGGTATCTGATCCGAATTTGGTCATCTTACCCTACACCTATTAAGCATCATATTTTTGCACTTTGTATTCGTAAAGTTTAATGTTGCTAAGTCCCCTCATATCTTCGAATCTTTGCATTCTGTAAACTTGCATCCTGCCAACTTGCTCGCCACAAAGCTTCTTTAGTAGTCGCTTCTTCGCTTATCAGTTCTTTCTTCTTGTAGCTTTGAGTCGTTAAACTTTTGCAACTTCGGATTTTCGAATCTTGTTATCTTTAACTTTTAAAAGTTTCCCGTAGCAAATGGCGCTGACACTCACACGCTATCTAAAGTGATGAAACGTTTTCTATGGAATACAATAACTTTGTACGTGCGCAGTGAATAGTTATTTACTTCACTGAATTATCAGAATAATATAAGCAATCGTCTTAATCGATTAATTCAAAAGCCACTCATCTTAATTGATTTATTCGAAAGTATAAAACACGCCTGACAAATTGTTACAACTCAGATCGACAATCAAGTTTACAAATTGAGAAGTACTTTAGTTTATTAATTTTTTTACTTAAAAATAAGACAGCCTTATAGAAGCTATTCGATTTTAATTTAAGGCAACTCAATTTCTCGAGAAAGAAGCCGAGGACACGTACGTGCGTGCTGGCACTGTCGTGGTTTTGTTCCCTCCGCTGCACTTTCCAACTGCAATTTCTCATAACTGCCGGGAATGTTGGCATTACATTCGATTTGCTCCATTTGTTTTCCAGTGATTCTCCTATTGATATATGAATAAAATTTGTCCTAGGAAAATCAATCGAAAACTAATATCTTCATATGGCTCCGTAGTTATTTCCGATAAATCATTAAGTTAGTCACTGCTCATCCTTTATCACAAATCGAAGACTCGTTATAAAGAGATTGCAGGTCTCATATTTTCCAAAAACTTCTCGTCAAAAGATTCTCATATATCTAGGCTAGAAAGAGCGTAAATGTCATTTATGAGACTTTTCTTTTTGGTACTTACAGTCTCTTTTACATGTCCCACTTTTAATTAATCCGGAACTCTTGAATAAACTTTAAAATAGCCCTTTAAGTGACTTATCGAGCATAATGGACGCATTATCTACTCATAATTTTTTTATTCAACGTTGTGAAATAGCTCAACGAGACTCGGTAACAATTTATAACTTTTTAACCAATTCAATAGCCTCTCTCCAGATTGTGTGTCTCTTTCCCAATCATATTTTGTTACGCTTACAGTATTACATTGCGCTAACAAAATTTTTCATGAGAGGATAAAATCGCTGGCCATCGATTAACAAGAGCTCGATAAATAATCCGCGCACGTGCGTCCTCACTGTCCCATCAGGCTCTCGCATCCACACACACTTGACATAATAATTTAATCTATTTCCTTTCATTTCCGCCACCGACGACCGACCCAGTTATAACCGCAAACCCTATTTAGTTACGTCATGACGCTGACGTCGCGGCACATGATTTAGGAACCAACGGCCATTGTCCGTGAGACAGAACCAGGTCGATTGCAGTGATTTCGTTCGGACATCTGTGACGCAAAAATATCTGATAAAAATTAGTACAACTTAAACCGGCGTTACCTTGCGCAATGTACGCCAGTTGAATTGTGCGGCTATGCCTCCATGTGTCAGCATAAAATTCAGTTAAAACCGAGAAATGCATAGAATTTCATTATAGTTTGCGGATTGACATAATACGTATTAATATGCACGGGCGCTTTATGTCACTGTCTTGTGTGGCGTGCATAAATTAACTAGAAATTAAAGAAGTCAAAAGAAGTCAAAAAGTTCGAGTTTAATTCGTTAATTTTACGAGCTTTATAATTTTAATTCGACACAGTATCAATCGCGTGGAATATCAGTGGTTATTCTTTTGTCAAGATCACTAGAGCGATCCTTAGAAACAAAATTATATTAATTTTTAGAAATTTCGGTCGATAAAATATTTTCGGGATATCCCGTGAGATCTGTGGTTCATGATAAGACACCGTGCGGAGCATACATTATACAGGTGAAATAGGCAAGTAAATGGGGTGACGAGAATTTTTCTTCACGGGGCTCTCGCAGGTAGTATATTTTGCGGTGAATCATCACAAAGGGATGCGAGATTTTCGGAAAGTAAGAAGAAAATATGAAAAGTGATGCGCGAGACTCTTCTCCCTTGTCGGTTATCGCGTGATTGGCAATCATGAAAGACGTTTCTCCCCCGTACAATTTCCACCTCATTTTCGACCTTCCTTTATCATCCCAAAAGCCATTTATTAGGGGATTGCTTTGTGTGAATTATCATGCAAGAATCTCTTCATCTCTCGAAAACTCGCAATATGAGAATGGAGCAATGTGATGCTTTATATAAATGTATGCTGATGTTATTTAACAAATTATTACGTTTAAAATAATAAATAATCCATATTGTAACTTTTCGTAATATCACCGGTCAACAATAAAAATATATCTTGCCGCAAGACGGCATTTCTTATTAAGTTTTGTGGCGCTGATAACGAATATGTCCAAAAGTTAATCTCGATGTCCCATATTTTTTTCGTTACATCGTACTCATGACACCCTATTATTTCCGCAATGGTATTCGTGTTAAGCGCATCACCCGGAATGGTCTTATCGTGGAAAAAAAAACAACGTGTTTGCCCGTATAGTGTCTATACTCCGTATAATACTATGAACCAGCTAACAGCTGACTCACAGTGAGTAAAGGGAGGAAAACCGATCGATCGATCGTGTCTCCTCTTCAGCGCGCGACCTCAGCTTGAGTGGCCCCGGCCTCGAGTAGCCGTGTACAAAAAGCGGCTTGTAGCCACCTCCGCTACGTCAATAAATATTTACCCTGTTTTCATCCGCCGTCGGCACCGATGTAATCGTAAGTGCGAAGATCCCCGTACAGATCCGCGGGCACAGAGCCGCGAATGAAAGCGCGACCCATCCTCATTTGGCGCGACTGAGCGATAAATATTTACGGGTATTCCCACTTCGGTTCACGGCGCCATTGTACTTTGTAATATTCGCAACGGGGACGTGGAGCGGCGTAGCGATTTGGATTCATCGCGGATGTATAATTTCCATCGATACATATTTATCGCGCGTCCCACACACTCGAGACGAATCGGTGACATAATGGGATTACACCGGGGTTACATCTCGAAATGGAAAACGATGTCTACACATTTTCATTACTGCTTACACGACTTACATCAACTTTCTCACATTTCTCCTCCATTATGTAGAATATTTATTTGTAGGTCTACATATATGATTTCTATCGACGTTTATATACAAAAAGAGCCATATTTTTTAATTGTATTTAATTATGTTACGCTTCGCTCCTTGCGCGCGCTCTGAAAAGTAAACGATAACTGGTTTTATCCAACTCTACATTTCTTTTATATAAAAATTAATCCGCGAATTGATTCCAGCAAAAATGAATGAATTTATTATAGAAAAGTATTTAGTAGCAATTGGAACTTCATTGTTATATCTATTTTAATATAGCAACCACAAGTAACAGCAGTACGTTTATCATTTCCTTCTTTAATATTTATATAGAAATACACAAAATCGATTTTATGCCAAACTATTATAAAAAATGGTTAATTAACAAAAGAGGAAAGGAAGAATATCATTCACAATTAGATGATAATAAATTTTGGAGAACAAATGTGTGACATGCGTTATGTATCTATATTACTACGACCTAATTTCTACTCTCGTGCAGCCTTTAATTAAGTTGCTGGCAGCATCATTCCCGAAATATTTCGAGATACTATCCCCGAAATATTTCATAGGGTATCAACTGGACAGTTCCATTTATTTTGCGAATTTTGCCATATATCTCTGTCTATATGCGTCATTAATTGTATATAACATTAATAACATGTATCATTAACATTATTATAACAGATATCAATCTAATATATTACAAAATTATAGATGAATTATGCTGCAATTCATCGAATAAAGTGAACTGTTACTTTATAGAGCGAAAGGGAATTTGCATCTTACTGGATTAAATCAGAAATAATTTCCATTTTACTTCAAGCTAACTTTTTATATTTAACACTAAAACTATCGAAGATTAACCTATACCTGTCTACCGAAGAGTGCAAGTTAACATGATGTCTTCGAAAAAAGACGTTGCGAAAGTGCATTCAAGAAAGAATGCACATTTATTTTACATTCAGCGAAAGTCCGAAATAAGATTATTATTTTTAAAGAAAGACTCTTACATAAATAACTTAAGAATAACTCCGACTGCAAGAAATGTACTGAATAATACTTAAATCTGTTGAATGGCATATACACGGAGAGAATTTTCTTTCAAAATTTACCCTGAAAATCATGTAAAGGTAAAATTTAAAAAAACTTTCATCAAATTCTTCCATGCCATGTTGTCCCACGATTACATGATTTTCAGGATAAATTTTAAGATAAAATTCTCTATGTGCACTTATTTATATATTTTTTTAGTAAGAAAACAAAAAGTATATGTCACTCAACAGTTTTATATATTATTCATTACATTTCTTACAGATGGAGATAATCTTAAGTTGTTTATTTCTGCCAATAACAAAGCGCTTTGTGAAAATCTTTCCATTCTTGATAAACAGTTCAGCGAATAATATAACTACTAGATGTATATTTGCATTTTGATATGCTTCAAAAATTACTTCTATATTAGAAAAATCAACTGCAATCTCAAAAAAAATATAAATGAGAAGAGCGTTACAACTAAAATTTATATCTCAATGAGCTGTAATGTGTGTGTTTTAAATCTTTTGTACTAAAATATAAATTTTAACTCGGTAATTTCTCGATAGCAAGTTATAACATTATGATGGAGCGAAAATCGACACCAGTTACCAATTCACTGTATTTTTGATGCAATAGTTTGCCTAAATTACACCTTGCACATGGAAATTTTGTAAAATTTCTGTGACAGCAATGCATTTCAGATGCAATTTGCCCATATTACATCTTTCACATGGCATATTTTGTAAGATTTCTATGTACACTCACCCGCAAAAAAAATGGGCCACCACATTTTAGCCCAATTTTTTAACATTTTTCAATAGCGATAACTCGGCGAAAAATCATCGTAGACAAATGAATAAAAAAGTATTTTGAAGCTTGAAGTTTCAACTTTGAAATGCTGTCAACAATTCTTTAAAATTCGTTTATCTTCCTTGTTCTATACTTTAAAAAAGAACACATTGTTTGTTTCTTAGAATTACGTATTTTTGACGCTCTGTGGCTGGATAAAAAAATTTGTCTCGAAAATATCATCTCAAATTTCATAAACTACAATTCTTTGTCTACAAAACGCTTTTTTAAAAATTGTCCTACGATGTTTTTTGACCGAGATATACGATTTTGAAGCTAAACCTGTACATATTGCACGATAATTGCTTTCTTAAATAAGATATTTTCAGCTTAATTTGAGATTAATGAGACAAATTTATATTTTAAAGAATGAAAATTTAGTAAAAATTAAATTAAATTATTTTTAGGAAAGATTATTTTGTAACATATTTTGTTATAGAAAAATATTTCACCGTATTATTCAATTTTAGACTATATTTTGTTACGTAATAACATTAAAATATAAGAGAATATATCCGTGAATTCCCATTAAAACAAGTTCCGGCGTCGGTTGTTCATTGGGCCAGAAGTGGCGAGAGCACTGGGAGTTGTTGCATTTAATCAGCTTTATGGAAGATGTTATCCAATCGTCTCTCGCCGCTGCTTCGGCATGGATAACCGACTAAAGCAGCTCGTCGTTACTGTTGCTGAAGTTTGGAAACTCCCAAAACGATAGCACGCGAACAACCGTATCTATTTTCGCTTATTTTGTTAAGAATCAGAATATAGCGCCGACATATGAAGCACGAAAATTCAGAAAGGTAACTACCCCGAGGCTAAAAGCTCAGAACTCTCAGGTTTGCTCTTAACCCCTACAGCGTCTTCAATGTTTTTCAACTTGGTAATTTTGACTGAAATCCTGGCATAAGGTATACCGTAAATCACGTTTATTCTCTTTCTGCTACAAACTATTTTTGACGCAACTATTCAACGTAAAAATTTTCATATCAGTCTTTATAATTTTTCAATTTTCAACATTAAATACCCTGCTAATTAGCCGTAAATTGCAACCTTATTAAGATATTACGTTTCACCGCGTGGTCTTAGTCTTACTTTAAGATTGACACGTGTAAAATATATAAAAGATAAAAATAAAAGTTGATCGTTTCAAACACACTTAATAATGATACTATCACTGAAGAGATGAGAATTTTTGAATTTTTCCTCGAGTCTGTGAATTTTCTACTGCACCATGGGGAACAGAAAGCGTTCTTAGTTCTAAAACATATTGGCGATCGAGCTTCGACACGGTAAAGCTTGTTATTGAGTCGATAAAGAGAACAAATGTCTGGGAGGTAAAAAGAAGAAAGGGAAGAAGTACTGTGCGATCATGCGTCCTGAGCGTTCCTCTCGATCAAATTTCTATCCGTATTCTCGCAAGCCCGCCAAATCATAAATTCTTCCCTTGCACAACCGTGCGGTCTGCTTTATGTCAAATAGATTGAATCTTTTATCTCAAAACCGACGTGAAATAACGTAATTTCTGCGTAATTTAACGAAATAAGCCGTGGCAGAGTTCACACGCAACAGTCTGCACCATCGCGCGCGAGAACAATTGGAAAATGAATATTGATCGTTAAATTTATTTGAAGATCGTATTGTCATTCTTTTTTATCTCCAACGTAAATCAAATTACCATAATTTGATCAAATATGCATACTACACGGAATATAACTTCTTACAAACAGAGTTGACTTTTCTGTTTATAAACTGCTAAAGAGATTAACAACTTGAACAACGCTTGTCAATTCTTTTCAGCACTTAAAAATTTTATACAAAATTATCGCGTAAATGTACGATTGGACACAGCAATGCGGAACCAATCTCAAAACTTTACTTTTCCGCTAAAGGAAATTTCGCTTGGTTTTTCTTATTGCAAGCAATTAGTAGTATCATTGTGCTAAAGAGATGATAACTTACTTGATTCATATACGATCTGACGAACTCCATGCTCTGATCTAGAGCGTAAGTGTCGCTGCTGCAGGAATCGAGGATGAGAGCACCCAGCGTGGTGTTCGGCAAGAGTTCTGTATCAGCGTTAATTTGGTCCAGAACGTACAACATAGCTTCCAATCGTTGCACACCCTTCTCTTCTTTCACGGCCCCGCATGGTGATTGACCGATGGAGCTTGCGACCTGGACACAAATGAATGTGCATGCTATTCAATTTGTTCCTTTTCTTTAGTACAATTTAGTATAGTTTCGAACTGTTATTTATAATTTTAGAATTGTCCACTATTTATTCATAGAATGATGTGCAACATATTGAACACGAAACTCTGATTTTAAACAGGCAGTCGTCTTTCTCTTTTTAATTATATTTTTCTGCTACATATTTCACGTAGTATCTTTTTCGAAAATATCGCAAACGTGAACGATTTAAACGTATCAACGCAAACGATAATTTTCAATCGGAACGGTAGAGCGCCGGAAGAGCGATAGCGAAGAATAAGGTAGACGTTCAATTTCGATGGATTAATGCCCTACTTTTCCCTAGAGCCATTCATTTGTACAGTGTCTAGCTACAATGGCACGTGTACAAGCACAACTTGGCGTCATGGGACCGAAAGATCAAATGACAGACTTCGGCCCCTCGTATTCTCGAGCACCACGGTCGAATGCGCTGCTCGACGCTGTTGACGTCGAGTTGAAGCAGTATGAGGGAAGTTGGGGATACGGTGTAATACTGTAAATCCGCGCATCGCTATGGCTGTATAGAGAGATCCCGTCAAACCGAAAAATACACAGTCCGGCCAAACACGCTCGTAAATTCTGGCGACAACACAATCCCGCCGCTGATTTTAATGTTTGTGAAATCAGTTGGGAACGCCGACCATTCGTTTCCGGAGTTACGAAGCTTTCCCGAAATAAAGCTTTTAATTTTAACAATCTGGAATGTATTTTTGCTGGAAGTCAGAATATGCAGGGAAATTACGAATAATTTTCCATACTGAACTCTTGGCATGTAAAATTAAATGTAAAATTAATCTATTTTATTAGTTTATTGCGCATATATTTCAATACTATTTAAGACTATGAATTTTACTGAATATGTTTCAAGTTTAAAAGACTTCATCGAGTAATATGAACATATAACATCAGTAAAATAATTTCTAACTCTCTCATCTCAAGTTAATTATTTTATTATATTTTATATCACATAAGGTAATAATTTATCACAGAAAATAATATAATATGCCACTCGCCAAGTTTTTATACCGCAAAATTTAGACAATTAATAATTAATAAACAATTAGTGGTCACGATTTCTTTAGTATACATATAAACAGAACGTTATATTTAGTGTGTGTGTAGATACATGTTATGTTGAAAAACTGTAATAAAACAATGGTTTTAAAAATAAACCGATTTTTCATCTTTGACGAATAATTCTTGCTTGTTATCTGTGAAGAAAAATCGATATTAATGCTGTCACCAGAAAAGTTGCGATATTGCCCCACTGGAAATTTATCCGAAAAAACTAATCATCCGCGAGTCCGGGTTGCTCGTTACTCAGGAGTCACTATATCGAGCGACAAGAACAACTGGCGAGAACGAAAGTTATCCGTTAGAGGAAGTTCGCTGAACGGCGGTTATTTTGCGCGAACTAGTTGTGTGACAACAATAAATCAGCTTAAAGTTTTCGATATTATTCCACCTATAGCTGTGGAAGAGGTAACGTTTCACAAGCATGTTTACTTCGCACTTTGTGCAGCAATCGAACTTAGTTGCGTATTCGAGATGAATGCGAGAGAAAGAAGTTGGAGAAAAATGAGAGAAACCTTAATAAAGAATTTTCGAAAGAAAGTTCCGCGAAATGCGCATGACATTTCGTTTGTTCATGTTAAAAATAACAGGCTGCTTCCTTTCAACGATTTCGATTAATCAATTCTAAAATCGTATATTAAATAACAACATCGAAATGACAATTTGATAACGCGCTCATATTTACATCACTTCTCCTTTTATTTTTAACATTTATATACTATTTTACAAGAAAATAACAAAATAACAATTTAAAAATATTTTTTCTAACATCACAATACAGTATTGTAAAAATCATGGCTGTAGCGAGAGTAGAGAGTGTTTTGCTTATATTTTTGTTATTTAGAATAAACATTTTTTTTTTATGGAGGCATATCATATCTCACAATATCACATATAATTCTTCACGGAAATTCTGCACAATCAGTTTTTAGCAGAAAGAATATTACAGTAGAATGTTAATAGAATATTAAACTTGTGCAATTTTTTTGCAAAACCGCATTCATCTATTTCTCTTTCTTTCTTTCAGTCTTTCTTAGGGGAATATTTTGTGACGAAAGGATACACATATACACAGTGTACCTCGATATCTGTGATATCCTCTTAGATGAGGCTACGGCGTTATCCTATATTCCATTTGTACCACGTATCTGTGTGTGATGTGACGTCAAAGACGAGAGTCAGGGTATGCTACGTCAACCTTTCGTATGTTGCGCAACAGACATTTAATAATTTCAAAAGTTGACTTATTTTCCATGTGGCAATATAATAAATTATTTCACGCACAATAGCGAAATGTAAATACAGTTCGTGTATATTGTCTGAATAAATTTGAGATAAAACGACGGTATATGAGACTCAATCACAATTATTAGCAAGTTTAACTTCCCTCTTTATTTCTTTCTTAGAAATGTGATGTTTGAAAAGCTATAGGATTTATTTATCTTGCTATAATGCATACAATGAAATTTCGATAGACAAAGAAATAATTTTAATTAACACGGATTTTGCTACATCAAGATTTTTAGAAATTGCGGAATGAGATAGAAAAGGGTGGATTTCAATGTTTGACTTTTACTAATTGCAAAATATATTAATTACGCCCATAAGTGCTTATATCATTTGCTTTAATATAGTATGATATAACACGGAAAAGGGAAAAATTAGCCTTTTAAAAAATTGAAGCTCAAGTATCTTTTTATCCGAAAATCTTTTAATTGTATCTTTTCAAAAATTTAAAAATACAACGTTTGGTCGGACTCAGCAAGTGTAGCAAATAAACGGAATGTATTTATTTGTCCGCCGCTGGCGATAGATCCTACATTCTTATTCGAAATATTCGTTATTTTCAAGTGGACAAGCTCGAGAGACGAGAGCGCGATTTCTGCGAGGCAATTTGAAACGAAAGAGTGCAGAATAAGGTAAAAGAGCACTTTCGTGGATACAAGTGCAACGAGTAGAGTCGAGATGTATGCACATTGACCCGCTCCAGGCGAGGTCCAACATAAAAGAAGCGTATCAATTTAATCTTTACACACGGAAGATAATATATTTAATTTTATCTACGAAAATAAAATCGTAAAAAATTACAATATATTCGCGATGGTTGCATATAATGATATGACTATATACTTCAATAGAATATCATATTTTATTAACTGAACTTTTCTTCGGCAAATTAAGAGCTCGAGAAAAGTTTTTCGAAAAATTTAACTGGTAAATATTATTTAATTGAGGATAAAAATTTTATCTGTAAATTCTGCAACTGAATAACAATTCTTATTTTTCATTCAGCCTCAAACTTATGTACTTTAATACGACTTTCGTTTACAATCAAATTACCAAGATATTTATGGTAAAGAATTTAGAAAATGTGATCTCTCAAAGTACTCATGTATAGGTATCTTAAGCAAATCTAAACTTTCGCTGAGGGAAACTCAATTCCAAAGTTATTGGAAAAATCTGTAGCTATCAGGAAGCATGCGACCATTGATGTATCCTACGTAGAAAAGCTGAAGAAGCTTACCTGTTCGTGCATCGGAAAGATCCCGCCGAGGATGATGTCGCCACCAATGCGTATCAACTTCGAGCCGTCCTCGCCTCTAATTTTTGCGTTGTAACATTCGCTTGTAATTAGGAAGCACCACATCCACGGTAGGATCCTACGTAAGTTCATCTTGGCGACGAAAGCTAAACTACTCGAATGGCTCGCGGTTGACACCTCGCTGAAACACAAAATAACATTTATGTTATTTTTTACGAATTTCTTTTAAAAGTAGATGGGCACTTTCTTGCTATTACATATATGATAACACAAGTGAGTTGCAAATATTATACAACTGATTACAGTAAAAAAAAACACGAGGATGTGGAAGACATCGAAGACAAATATTGAGAGAATGTTTCTACAATTGTACTCGATTTCTTCGAGGAAAAGGCAATATTGACAATATTGCATTTCATTATTTAAATTGATTAGAATAAATCGATTGTACGTATCGCAGATACATCTGTTCGTAATGTCTGAGTTTCCTTCACATCCTTTTCATAATGTAATTTATTGTCATTGTACGATACTTGTAAGAAAACTACTTCAAAACTAGTAACGAAGTATTGAAACGAAAATCTCGATACGCGACGTCATATATAATTCTCTGCTTGTGCGCTGAAAACATGAATTTATAGTGGAAACGGATAGATCGTACGTGTGCAAAATATTTACAAAAATATACATGTGTATTGTACGTTTCCATTCCTGCCTATTCTGAATTCTTCCACTCAGGTCACGATTTCTAAACTTATGAAGCAGTTTCTTTTCGACAATAAATCTCTGTCCGCATTATATTAAAACTTCCACGTTCAAAGATAGAATCTCTTAGTTCATCGCACTAAATTTTTCCTTTTAAAAAATGATACAAACATGAACTATTGCTACGTGGTGGATTTCTGTTCCGTTCGATTTTATAGTCAGCATATTTCGTTTAGACTATTTATAATATATTTATTGTGCATATTTTATTTATTTTATCTTTTTATAATGACCGATACCATCATTGTTTTATATCGATTACTGAAAAGGGTCGAATTCCACGACCGAAACGTCTAACATTAATATATTATGTCTCATAAATTTTGTTAAAATACACATTTTAATCATACTTTCGGTAACAGGCTCCCATTGCCTTTTTATTTCCTCTTATTGCTAATGAACTGTTGCTTTGGAAAATAATTAAGGTTTTCAGTTTTTTTCGACGAAAATTATCGATACAGAGTTACATCATGCATTCCAAGCAATTTAGGCAAAACACGATCGTTTCTTTTCCTTAATTTAATTCGGCTTAGGGTGTCGTACAAGGATCAGGGAAACCCTACGTCTCTCCTTTAATTACTTCGTTGCCCGGCGTAATACGACTTTACGTCTTTATCGTCCAATTTTCTTCCCGCAATCGTTGCGAAAGCTCGATTTTTATCGTCAACACAGAAAGTTCTTCGAGCAATTATACTTATTTTAGTTATCGTAATCGATTTTGCTCATTGTAAAAGCAACGTTGTATATCAACGGGACAAATCTATTTTATATATCTTTCTTTTTAATTACTTTCATTTCCCCGCTTTTGCATATTTCGAGCTTTTATAAACACGCCATCTTCTTCACGAAGAAAAGTTGCTGATTGCAAGTCTGCTTGTGTGTCTACGATCTAATTCACGGCGATGTAAATGAGAAGGAACAAAACCACTGGCGGTGAAATAACTTCGTTAAACAAATTTCATTTTCACTCACGTCTTCACGGCGTGTTTCGGTTTTCTAATTATCTCCCATTTTGCTTTCCCCAAAAGCCACTCGAGGTTGTAATTTTATAATTTAATTCGACTTTTCCAATTAATTTAAGATCTTTATACCGAGAACAGACTCTTCTCTCATTTTCTTTATACCTAATGACAATGATTAGTGGTAATCTTAGTGATAACGTAGGAATATGGCAACTGCGATAATTTGTTTTTATCTTTTAAATTTGGAGACTTTTCCTTATCTCATATTATACAAGTAACAATATCAAATTTTTATTTTATTCTATTTAAATTTAATCATTGAATCAATTTTATATTTAAATTGTTATTTAAATTCGATGTTTAATAAATTGTTAATTTATAAGATGTGAAACAATAATAACAGTAAAGATCTTAAATATTAGAAGATTAATTCCTTTTATTAAACTTTTTTGTATGCTGATCACAGCTATAATTAGTTAAGATGTTTTACTAAGTTCCAAAATATATGCAAAATTATTAAGTTATCTTAATTAACTAACTAATAACACTGATAAATCTAAACATATAATTATAGTTTCCTAATTTTGTCTTTTAAATGGTCATACAAAACGTAAAATCTTCGCGAGGCAAAAAGTTTTATATGTGTCAAGCGTCTAAAAATATCATGCTACTATCTGTTTTTAAATATACATTGCTAATGTAACGTTGAATTTTAGCGGAATATATGTCACAATTTTACGACATGTAACGCAATTTGCAAAATGTTAACCTTCATGCTCGTTATGAAATTTATAATTGAAGTGACGTGGAATCGTCTGCTTTTCAACTCGTAATATATTTACAAAGTTTATTCGATAATTGTTATCTTTGTGTCGAACGGAGGGGTAATTCGTTTCAACAGACTGGTAGACAAGAATCGAGAGAAATAATTTTATATGAAATCTTATACATTATATTGAGACAGGTAATAATATATTAACTTTTAATTATCAATAAATTATTTTTATACAAAGGCACAAGTGTTAAAGTAAATATAAAAGTAAATATTTACTTTTATATAGGTCTTAATGCCTTAAAAAACTTATATAATATTTTTATATAATAAAATGTTTTACATCGTTTATTTCTGCGGATTATTATTTTTCATATCTTTAGTAAACACGTAACCATAAATGACCGGGAATAATATTAATTTTAGCACCTATAATATTATAATTTAGTTTTTCATTTTTATTTCTATTGCGATTCTATCACGCTTGACCACATTTCAAGGATATATGCAGCACACTAAACACTCGACACCTCAACTGAGATTGAATGGCATTGTATCGAACATACCAGAATTCAGTGAGGCGTTCCACTGGCTCCAGAAGAGTCTCATGAATGCAGAGCATCAGTGCGACCTGTGGCAGTGATCGCCGTGTAATTCCGAGTAATTCCATTGGAGCATGGTCTTTTATTGGAATTTTTGGCTCTTTCAACTTCATTACTAAGCGCACGTTAAAAGAGATAAAGTAATGTTCTCTTCTATTGTTATCTTAGCGTGTGAAAACCATTACAAAAGCTTTTCTTCCCGTTATTTTTCTATTTCAATAAAAATCAACGTATGCGTGTCGTATTCCATAAGCGAATAAAGATAGATAAGATAACATAAAGATATATTGAACAATCGTCAATTGTCTTTTAAACTTTTGAATTGACAGAACGAGAATAGAGAGAAGAATATCCTAAATTTCTTCCAACTTTATCATTTTTCACAAGAAACCAACTGTAATAAGATAAAAACAATTTAGATTTAAATTTTTCTAAATTTTTTTACGTATATCATAATAATTAATATCTCTGAACAATTGATGTGAATATATTGGAATTATAAAATTTATATGCCATAAAATTTTATAAAATGTTCTGAAATAATATAAAATTAATAGAATTGTTGTGATATTTAATATGTTACTAATATGTTTGAACTTGTTTGAAACATGACATTAGTTTTATATGTCAAGAATGCTGCAATTTTCTTGTACTTATACA